ATATAAATTAGCACTCCTAGATACGAGATGAATTTTGTTGTTAGTACTAACCCCTACTATTTTATGTTTTGATACACTCTTAAACTTTTAGCATATGCTAAAACAAAATAAAATAAAATATATCAAGACAGAGATGCACGCAATATATTAAATCTTTTCAAATGCACTATTGATTACAGCAGACTCTCTAATTGCCCTTTTAGCTAGAAAAAAATTCGATAAGCATTGAGTAAAATAAACACTTCTTAACAACGGACTAGTCATGAGGTGTCCAAAAGATGCTTCAGACTAGTCAATACCGTTTACGTCAGTTTGTTTCTCATTTTCTATGCACGGATGCGAGTCAATATATAAGTTTAGACTATATATACTTACGGCAGTCTATTTCAGTATCCTAGTCTCCCGTCATGATGTCCGTCATATCTCGAACACTGTCGGGCTGGATGTTCAAATCCACTGTGTAACCTCTGTTTTTAATCTTCTTACTAGTCTGGACTAGGTCAACACACAGCACGGACTAGACATGACTGGGCTCAAGGACATTTCAGACTAGTACAGACGTGTTTGTAAGACATTCCTCATTAAGCTGACTAGACAAGACGAGTATGCAAGACGTTTCAGACTAGACTAGACGGCAGCTGCCGACATTTCTGACTTGTCACGTCGGCAGTCTCCCTTCGTTTTTTGCTTACTTGGGTTTATACTTTGTTCTATTCATAGCTATGACATAAGTATTCTGTAAAATTCGCTGTTTTTTTCTTTATACAATTTGTTTTTTTTAAGTATAAATCTAATGCAATATGATGGCACTGTTAGTTACTATGTCGATAGGCACTCGAAAGATTCGATGATTATATTTTAGAACTAAAATAAATAGAAAAAAAAACATGAAAGCAAAATGTATCGGTATTGAAAAATGATAAATACTATCGTTTGTATAAATATGTGCATAAGACTGTCAACAAAAATGTTGATTGGATACTTTCTTTACAAATACATCATTTAAAGCGAATGCAAGCAACAAGAAAAAAAACTAAACTTCAATTACATATAAAATATTTGCGTTTCATAAAAGTTAAAGTAATCAGAACGAACAAGAAGGAAATCGAACTCATTTATCATCAAACCAACAAAAAATTATTATCACAATCATTTTCTATATAGAAAACATTATTCAAAATGTTCATGATAAAAATATGGATGTTTCTATTAATTCCATTAATCTCAGGTAAACAACTAAATATCTTCTTCTAGTTATTGATAGTTTCGTTCGAACTTCCTATTTTTAATAACTCAGACGTAGATCTGAGTTTCTCATATAAAGAAACGCTAAGAAGCAAATGTTGATACGTTAGTCTAATATGAATAATTTTAATAGTTGATGGGCGAGCTCTTCGAAAACAACGACAGACAATGACAAATACATTAGGACAAGACACCAATAACTTTTTTTCCAATGGGTACAATGTCATACGTGACAGTGTGGTTCCAGTAATCAGTTCTAATGTGAATCAATTTTCTCAAAATTGGGATCGATATAAAGAAAATTTCGGTCAAGGTATAAATCAGATTAGTCAAAATTGGGATCGATACAAACAAAATTTCAATCAAGGACTTAATCAAATAACACAAGGCTGGAATCAATTCACACAGAATTTCATCCCACAGTATCCTTATCGTAATAATAACTATGCATATAATCGTGATCGTGAGTGATTTATACGAAGAATTGCTTCTTTTTTTTTTAAATCTAATTTCGTCTTCTAGGATATGGTTATAATAATCAACAATATCCTTATTCAATGAACTATAACTATAATTTTCCTTCAAATATGTACCAAAATAATCTGGGAAGAAATGAAAATCCATATGCAGCAAATAATTATGCTAATTCTATTGGATCACCAAGAGAAAATGTTCCATATTATTCGAGTAACTCAGGTCGACAATGGTATCAAAACTTAAATGGACAACAACGTTTTAATGGACCAATAGCATCTAACGCAATGGTATACACTGATCAACGAACAGGTTTTCGACGCAGATAGTTATATTTATTATAAGCACTATCTGATTCAAAAGAGTAACATTTTACTGTCTGAATTTCCATTTATATTCGCTAAGCATTTCATTGTTAATCACCTTGAAAAACTAATCTATTTTCAATATATGTATCAATTAATTAGAATAAAATAATATCATCAATGAATTATGAATTCATTTGATAACATAGAAAAAAAATAAGGAAATTTGTATGTTATAAGCATAAACTTAAATGAATAATAATAATTTTCATCGTAAATTAAAAAAAAAAGAATGAAGTTATATTAAGAAAGTGAATATTTATGAAAAAATTTTAGGTCATTTTCTCTCTGATAAAAATTCTCGTTTTATTAGTATAATAGAAATTAATTCATTTTGGTTATTCCTACAAATCTTAAACAATTATTTTTATATAAACTTCATGTACGTTCTCATAATTATGACGATATATTAATTTGAGGTATCAGTTAAAAAAGAGAGAGATCTCTCGATTGAAAACAAAAGCTAATAAAAAAATGAATTTTAAAAAGATGCTCAAGTTTTATTGTTTAATAACAAAATCAAAATTTTCTCTCTTCTCATATTTGAAACTTTAGAAATTATTTGATATTACGAATATTTTATCAGTATGAAACAGTAGAAACATCAAGAATGAACCTAAATCTTTTATATATTGTTATGCTTTAATAGACTGGTTCACTTTGTAATATATATGTTGAGTATTTACGAGTTTGTTCTTCATATAACTTTATCTACATTAGCTAAACACATAATTATTTCTATAAATAAAAATTTTTATAATTAGAATCAATTATATATGATCTGCAAGTAATGCTATTTCCTGTTAATAATTTTGAAATTTAGTAAAATATATAAGAATTAAATTTAGAAAAGTAAATTCTATTGATTTATTTTTTATAAAAGCGCTTCAGAATAAATAATTGAATAAGAATAATTGTTTAATTATTCTTTTGAGTTGATGCTAAATATTTTTCCATAATTAAATCCCATACATTAATCGGTGGATATTTAACTGGTTTATCTTTTGAACAACATGTTGGTATACATCGAACGATTTCATTTGGATTTATTTGACAAAAAGAAGCAATACTTTGACGAGTTGGATATAAATCATTTTCTATTTTAGATGTTGGTGAAATAACACGATGAGGTGTTGACGTCCAATGATCATTTGTCCATCGAGACATTAAATCACCTAAATTAATAACAAAACTATTTTCAATAAAAGGAACATCGATCCATTTTCGATCTAAACGATTTTGTACTTGTAAACCTCCAATAGAATCTTGTTTCAATATTGTAAATGACCCATAATCTGTGTGTACACTTGAGCGATATTGATTTTCTGGTAATGGTACAGAAAAAGAAGGATAATATAATGAACGTAAGGCTGAACGATGTTCATTTATTTTATTATTAAACCAATTCTCATCTAAATTAAGTGCTAAAGCAAATAAATTGTATAAATGCTTAGATTGATTATGACACTTTTTATAATAATTTAACCAAATCGAAGGCATTGCCAAAGGTGTTCTTGGCCATCGTATTTTCCCATCATGTTCAGGACCTATAGAAAAACTTTCTTTTACATCTGATAATAAAAATAAAGAAGATGATTTATCATATCCACGAGATAAATTCTCATCATTTAATCCATTATAGCCATACGGATAGTCTTTTGAACCAGATATTTCACGTTTTATTGATAGAGATTGAAGAAAAAATTCTTTTGATATTTTCATCATATCCTGTTGAATGTTTTCCTCAATTGAATGTCCAATGATAAAAAAAACAATATCTTGACATATATTATCGATCTGTTTAGCTAATTCCTTACGGTTTTTTCCATTATCATACGAATTAGCTAAATCTATAATTGGTATTGATGAATTTTTTGTTGAATATTGTGATATAAAATTAATCTTTTTAAAATAATAATTTGAATGTAGTATTCCACAAGATTTTATCATCATATATTTCTTCAAACGACTAATTAGAATAAAATAACATTAGATGAAAGTCGAAGTTAGAATGGATGCTTGTTTTAAATGATGCTCTGCATTTTTTTTAGACTTATCAACTCGATAACGGTAGAAACTCATCTTTGTTTCTTTTTTTTTGTTTCGTTTCCTTTCGTTTTGTATCAATATCTTTTATAGAGATAAGACAGAAAAAGGCATTATGCAAACGAAAATTCTCTATCGATATAGAATAAATATCCGTAGTGTTTTTTTTGTTGTTGCTCGCATCCATTTTTTTCCTGCATATTAAGAGATCAGTTAGTCTATATGTAAATGAGAATTAAAATGATCTATTATTATGCGACAAAACATAGTTCAAATTTGAGATTGAAACTAAAATTGTATGGAAATATTTCAGGGTCTTGATAGTCATTTTTCAATAGTGTTTAAATGCTAATGAAATCACATGATACAATCGTATTCGTTTCTAAACATTGAAGAAATCTAATTATTTTATTTTCTAGTCAAGATTCAATTCAACTAGATGATGCACCACCGGCATGTCCATTTCCCGCTGGAATAGTTATAAATTTTTGTTCTTTCATTTTCTTTACGTTTGAACAGATCGGACAGTTGAGATCTTGTTCATTTGGAAATCCAGTTGTAGAATAGCTACCATCAAACATCGATAAATTGATTTGTATCCAATTATGAAACGATTTATTGTTATCGGCAGTCAACCTTTTAATTTTCATCATATATTGCATCCATGTATTGACAACTAAACAAGATCCAGATAAGCAAACACCGATCCAACTGCCAACTGTTCTTGTCGGAAATGATCTATCTTTCGGAATGAATTCAATTGATTGATAATTCTCTATATATTGAGGTAATAATAATCCAACGAGTTTTTCTTGATAGAGAGGCATAAATAATGTCGAAAACTGTGTTGGTGAAATGACGTCAATTTTCAATTCCTGTAGACATTCTTCTATGATTGATCGAGACTTTTCACCTGATATGCAACAGTTTTCTTTGAGAAATGATGAAATATCGTTGAAAATTTCTAGTTCTTGATTTGTAAATTTAAATGAATCATTAATAAGATTAACACATGCCCAACACGAATCATTTAATAAACCTGAATATAAATTAATATCAATATTATTAGCGTATGTCGAGCCAGATATGTAGATGATACCTAATGATTTACATAATGAATTAACTGCATAATCAAAAACAGCTCCATAATCTATATTATTGAAGATGACTGTCGATTTCTTAGCTATTTCAACAACACACGACCAATTTCTTACAGCATCTGTATGATAATAATGTATATTAGTTCTTAAATTGTGTATTTCTTTCAAATGTTGAGCTGCTGTTTCTACCTTAGATCTACCGATATCGGTAACACTAAATAATATTTGTCTATTTAAATTCGATGCTTCAACATAATCCCGATCTAATAAATGAATAGTATCGATGCCCATTCTCACCAGACACATGGCAATGCTACTTCCAATACCACCAACACCTAAAACAAATGCACATTGTCTTTCGATTAAACATTGTTGGAAATCTTTCATAACACGTTGTCGATCAAAGACATCACCAGGAGTTTCCAGAGGTGGCTGTTGTCCTTCCACTACTATGTAATCTAATTCAAATTTACTAGTGGCATTCACTTCAACTGTAGAATCCATGAGTTAGTAGTTATTACAAAAATGAAAGAAAAATTTTCAAAGAATAACAAGAGAAACATCTCATTTTTCATCACAAAAAAACAACATGGTGAAAAACAATTTTGACATTCGAAAAAAAACGAAACAGTAATTACTGGTAACTTGTGCAATCTTTTCTTTGCTATTTCTGTTTTACCAATCAAAAAAAAAGCAATTGTGCTCAGCATATTTGAATAATTGCTTTCATTGGTACAAAATATGACTGGTAAGCAGCCAGAGAATGATACATAGTGATTGACAATTTGAATCCGTTTATTTTATGTTTTACCCGAGTTATTAAAACATCTTTTTTAATGTCTACTGAATAGTCGCTCAATCGAAAATGAATTGTTATTTTCACATATTTATTATCTTGTAATTTATTCTTTTCCGGTTCAACCTAAAAAAAGAAAATCAATAAGATAGATCAGTTTCACAGAAGAAATCTTACATTCTGATATTAATTGCTTGATTGTCAGTTTTGTTGATTAAGACAGATACCAGATAACTGATCAAACATTTACTTTAACTTTGATGTTCTTATGAGATTTAATATTGATTCGATTTCTATCTTTTAAAAATACATTCGTAAAATATTTCAATTCTAATGAAGATTATAATTATCATCACAAGAGACTGTTATACATATATTAGAACTTTTCTTCTTGTTTTTCAACTAAAGAATTCTTAGATTGAGTGCAAAATAAAAAAAGAGATATCAATATATTGACATAATGACTCAAATTTTGATGTTTTCTGAATGATTATTTATGACTATGTGACAAGAAACTAATCTGTGAGAATAGTTCAATAGATGGAAAATAACATGTTTTTTTCTTCAAAATACTTACGTGATTATGTATAAATAGAGAATGACATAATGACACATACATTTGGTTTAGAAGACTTAATCCTAAAGTTAATGCAGCATAAATTATAAAATAATTTCACTAGCAAAATAATCAAACAAACTTGAAATATAGTTGAAAACATTTCATTTTTTTAAAAGTAAGAGTACTCATATTATTGTCATGTGTTCTTACTCTCATTCAGGACTCAAGAATCGTGAGTCACTGAACACATTTTTTTCTTCCTTCTCTATTCTTCTTTCATAACTTGGTCATATATCGCCGAACTTAATCGGTTTGTTCTTCGTCAAATTAAGTCGTCATAACATGATCGTGAAATTTATCTTGTTCTAGAATCATATTTATTTTCGTCATCGAAATGTACGTGCGTATACGGTCTATATATTCTTATATAAAAGACGAACTTTTTCTGTATCAGATTCTTATTTTTATTATTCACTCTCCAATACAAAACTAATTTGATAACATTTCTATGACTTGTCGTATCGTATCATATAATATTCTAGCACCTATTCTTGGTAATCGACCAGAACATTATTTTAAATGTCAATTGGAATATCTTCAAATCGATCATCAATGGAATTTAATTCAATCTCATTTAGAACAAGAAATAATGCAGAATGAAAACACAATCATCTGCTTACAAGAATTGACACTTACGATTTTACCTAAATTTGAACTATTTTTTCGTCGAATGAATTACACATTCTTTCATAATCTCTATGGTGAACGACGCAAAGATTACATGGGTGTAGGTATGGCAATCCCGTATTCCATACAACTGAATTCAATATCTATTATTAAAATCGGTGATCATATACGTTCTATGAGTAAAGCTTTTGAAAAACAAACAAATCTATTTACATGGAAATGGGATTTCTATCAACTTGTTAAGAGTAAACTTATAGAAGTTGTATCTGATTCATGGGAAACTGCCATGAATAGAACTAATACTCTTATTTGTGTACAAATAACTATCAATAATAAATCAATATATATTGGCACGTATCACATGCCTTGTCTTTATAAAGAGCCCGATGTCATGCTGATTCATGCTTCCATGGTGAAAGATTTAATGTTTCAATTAGCAGGTGGCCAAGATTTTATTCTAGCAGGCGACTTCAATATCAAACCATGGGATCTTTGTTACAAACTTTTAACAGAGAAAGATTATGTTGGTTGCAATATGCCAGAATCTAGTAGTTATGAAATATCTTATCGTTCCAATACTGAACTAGTATTGAAGAGTGCTTATCGTGAGAAAAACGGAGCTGAGCCTATGTATACAAATTTTTCTCATACGCCACCATCACCTAATTTTTGTGCTACATTAGATTATATATTTTTCAACGGTTCTCTTACGGTGGAAAAAGTATTAGAATTACCTGATCATCCTTCTGGTGATTCTTATCCTGATGAAACGCATCCATCGGATCATCTGATGATTGCAGCAACATTTCGATTATAAAATTTTTGAGAAAAGTCATTGTATTGATTTATGTTTTGATCTCATCATGAAAATAAATTCATTCTTCAACTGAATATTTCTTATTTTTATATATGTCAAACATTTAAATTCGATTTATATATTAATTCCAATTCTTGAGTTCCAATTGATTGGAACCGATCGACATCAACACGAATAGAGTAATGACTTTTTCTTCTGAACTTCAACGAAAGAACATTTGAATTAGCGAATTAGAATCTCCAAATAATACTCTTTTACAGATTAAAACGAGCATAATTTGTGATTTCACATGAAAAAAGTTCATGATCAATTGTACATAGAAACGTAAATTAATCTTTCTACAGAATTTGAATTCATCAGAAAAAAAAAAGATTATCATAATTTATTTCTATAATAAGACTCTACGTAGATATAATCTCATTTATAACTTCAATACATATTTCGTTCAATACTGTTAGTTGTAATAAAGATAAAACACAGCCAAGTTTTTGTTTTAGAATGAAACATCATGATATAGAAAATTAACTACAGGAACAATGTGTGTTTACTGTTGCTTTCCTGTACATTATACTATCACGTAAATTAATGATGGAAAGTTCATTTTCTATGCTTGAAATAATCTTGAGCGTAATTTAATTATCAGGCTCTACCAATAACAGTTGGTATAGTCAGATAACATCTCAGAGATGCCATAATATCCTAACACTGGGTATCGTCGACATACCAGTCACGATATCCATTCAAGTGGATATCTAAAATGAATACTAAAATGAATACCCATGTTCCTCATAGCTGAGGAATTTCAGTGCATTTGGTGTAACGAGAATGGGTATCCATTTTTATATATTCTCAGAGCTGAGGAATTTGAGTGCATTTGGTGTAACGAGAATGGGTATCCATTTTTATATATCCTCAGAGCTGAGGAATTTGAGTGCATTTGGTGTAACGAGAATGGGTATCCGAAATGGATACCCTATTGTAAAAATACGTGACTTTATAACTATAAATAAGGAAACGTGATGCTATGTTAAAATTTATTGTATCCATGTAGTCAGCTTTATGCCAATGTTTATCGATATGTACAGATTTGTTTAATGAGCATTGCAGATAGCGCGCAATTCCAAGTAAATGTCCGTTGAAGAACTTCATTTTTACCTCATAACAATTTATTACGACTTTCATCAAAATCACTCACGGGACTTGGGTTGAAACTGTAGCATGCTGTGTAGTTGGTGTTGTTGTGGATCGTCACATGCATGTTATTTGAATTGTGGCTTATATTAATTTGTTTGAAGTAGGACCTGACAGTAGGAAAATTTCCGGTACCCAATCTCGTTACACCAAATGCACTCAAATTCCTCAGCTCTGAGGATACGTAGATGTCCATCCAACTGGGTATCCTATCTGGGTATTCATCTCGATACCCAAGTTGTGGATATTATGACATCCCTCTAACATCTGTATCTAATTTCTAGATTAACTATGCAATAGTTGAAGATGAACATTTCTTTTAAATTTAGATCATAATTATCTGCAGTACTGAAGTTGATACTTATGTATATACTTTCATTTCTCTGCGAGTTTATGTTTACAAACATAAACTCTCGAAGCATTATCAAACAGTTTATTGTTGATACCATATCTATTACTTCACTTCGATCTAAATCTTGTCATTGACAATTTCATGTAAAATGTTTTCAATCATTAGTCATTATAGAAAAAACATTTGAAAATCTCTCTAAGCGTTCGTTGAATCTCGTTCATTATCTAATAAAAAAATAATTACAGTATTATCCTAAAGAAAAATGAAAAACAAACTATTTTTTCTGAATTCGACCATAAAATATGTTTTTTTTCTTTTATTTTATCATGAAAATAAATAGTGATAAAGATAAGTAAACTCTTATTACTTTTATTCTGTGTAGACACAATTCGAAAATGTCTTATCATCAGATATACACATCTCATTAAACGTTTTATTAAAGAAAAAATAAAATACATTTGTCCTTTGTTTTTTTTTTATATCTATGGTTGTAGAAGCAAAAAATGTCATAATGAATTTTTTTTGTCAAATCTTTACTGACTATCTCCATGTCATGGTAGAGTCGATAATCCAAATATTGAGTCTGAATATGATTGTGCTCTTCGAGCCTTTACAATTGAAATGGCTGGATATATTGCTCATGCATTGCCGAAAACAAATTGGACAGTACTCAGTCAAAGTGCTTTTCAAATGAATCAATGTAATAACATCTCATATAATACTCATCAACCATTAAATAGAATTGAATCATTCAAGATTATACAAGAAATGAAAACAACAAATTGCTATCATAGAGTTTTTGTATATGATTCAAACGGAAGCGATCTGTTCGATGGTACATTCGAACGACCAATGAAAACTATCCAAACAGCCGTATCTCTTACACGTATTTTGAGAACTGTTCACGACAATGATAAGATATTATGTATCACAATACGTGGAGGAATCTACTATTTAGATACAAATGCTACTACAACAAGTAGTCAAATTGGTGCAATTACATTAACAACTAATGATAGTAATCTTGTGATTGAAAACTATCAGAATGAACATGTTATATTGAATGGTGGTACATTATTAAAATTACAATGGTCTGTTCATGTTAATACATCACAGGGTGGTACAATAATGAAAGCTCAAATACCATCATGTATCAATCTTGAACAATTCAATGAATTATATATTGATGGTAGAAGAGCGATTGTTGCTAAATATCCAAATGGTGATCCTTCTATATAAGGTTTATATGCAAAAGATCCAGGTTTTTCTTACAACGTAAGTAGATGGCTTCCACCTACTTTTAATAAAGGTGCTTCTGTTTTTAATTCACCGAGTAACTTATGGAGTACAGATTCACCACCTTATGATAATAATTATGTTGTTCCTCGTGGTCTTATTGTCAACAATGGTGCATTGCCTCATATTGGTAATTGGAGTAAACCTACGACTGGTTTTGTGCATGCTTTTCATTCTGACTATTGGGGTAGTTGGTTTTTTGAAATAGCATCGATCAATAGTACACAAAATACCATTGTGTTCGGTCGAGGAAGTTTTCAGGAAGCACGTGGTGCAGCAAGTGGTGGTGCATTTTATGTTGTAAATATATTTGAAGAATTTGATTCACCCAATGAATGGTTTTTAGACAAAGATACTCGAACACTTTATTTTATGCCAAACGAAACTATGCCTCAAGTTTTTGTAATAAGTCAAATTTCTTGTCTTATATCTATTAGTGGTAGTAGTTTTCAAAATTCTGCTGAAAATATATCTATTCAGGGTTTAACATTAACAGAGACTAGTCATACCTATATGAGAGATTATATGGTACCGAGTGGTGATGATTGGGCTGTTCATCGAGGTGGTACTTTATATTTAATAAATACGAAAAATATTACTATTACACGTAATATATTCATACAATTGGGTAGCAATGGTATGACATTGATTGATTACAATTATGCTACATCGATTATGTTAAATGAATTCGTATGGTTAGCTGATTCAGCGATTATCCTTGTTGGTAGTACGAATGGCATCGACGGTTTTAGTGTAACAAGTCAACCTGTCAACACACTCATACAGTCAAATCTTATACATGAAACCGGTATTTATATTAAGCAATCATCACCAGTATTGATTGCTGTGAGTCGAAGTGTGTCTATTATCGGTAATCTCATGTTTAATATTCCACGAGCAGCAATCAATGTAAATGATGGTTTCTATGGTAATCATACTCTTAGTTGAAATATCATATTCAATACTGTTCGAGAAACAAGTGATCATGGACCTATCAATACATGGGATCGACAACCATTTTTAAGCGATGCAGTACAATCAAGTTTACCGTCAGTTTGGCAACATAAAAGTTTCATTCATCACAATACTCTTTTCAATAATTACAATTCATTTTATCCGATCGATCATGATGATGGCAGCTGTTTTTATGAAGATAGCGATAATTTTCAAGTATATGGTGACAAGAAACATTATTTGGGCCATTCGCAACTCGATCATCAAGAAATTAATGTATATCCTGATACAAAATCCAGTCAGGGTACAGGTGTATGTATTGCAGATCAAGCACCTTCACATGGCTCTAGTAGTTGGAATGAAACTTGGATTGCAAACACTTTTATACTCTACACAAGTCCAATATTTGGTATTGCAATACAGATGATCTTTTGTAACATATTTAGCATTTAACAAAATATATATTTCACCGGGAACAGAAGTGACATTCGCATGCATGGTCAATGGTAGTAGTACATATCTTAACTTAGAGCAATGGTAATCATACGGGGTTGGATATTGGTACCATAGTTCAGACAGTACCTGATATTAAAACAATTATTCAATGGGGTCGAGAAAATGTTGCAATCAACAATTTAATCCTGAAAGATCACAAATTATGATAATGTACTACAGTGTGATATCTTCGTTTATAATAGTTCATGTAAATTCTAGAGGAAAACAAAACAATTCGTATTATTAAGTAGTATTTACAGTCAGCGATGATTACCTTGTTTTCATTGATACGAACAATAAAGAATATGAAATAGATAGAAGTAAGACACTCTAGATTCATAGTACACATTAGCATCATCATCAGTCTATTTTAATTCACATGCAAATATCAATACTCAATACAATAGGATGTTTTTGTAGAATTGTACTGATTTGAAAGGTTAATACAACATTGCTTTTAGAAATATATTGTTTTGTGAATATATATGAATGTCAACAGCTACGTATTTGCTTATTTCTTTGTTGAAAGATACTTGCCTATATTTTTTTCGTACGATAATCATCAACTGATAGTGAACTCGATTTCAATTGTGCATAGATTCTATCAAAAGTACCATTTCGCTATAAACGACTTCAATAAAGTAACAATAACAATAATTTTTGCATCATAGTCTAGTTTAAATAAACTTGTAGAGATAAGATTTACATGTGATGTATTTTTAAATAATAGAGTAAATAAAAGATAAAACTATAAAAATACTCAATGTATATTCTAATTGTGAGAACGGAAAACAATGAATATAACAAAAACATCAGACTCAATTGAATTATCAAGCCCATTTTTTAATTTTCTATGCGATAAATTTTTTTTTTCATCAGAATGGTTAACATTTACAATATGCATTTATTTTACATTTCAAACTGTATTTTGGTTATATAATTTATTTCTTATTTATATTGAATTTAATGACATTCCTTCAATTGATAAATATCGAATACAAAAACATAAAGTGAAACTTCGTTTTCAACCAGAAATGATTCGTCAAATGAAAGAAGGTACAATAAAGCATCAGTTATCATTAATATTAACCTTACCATTATTATATTATTTATTAAATTATTTTGGTCATATTTCTGTACGTTCATCAATTCCATCGTTATTGACGATAACATATCAAATAATTTTATTTATATTAGGTGAAGATTTTCTATTTTATTGGACACATTATTTATTTCATACACCTTGGTTATATAAACATATTCATAAAAAGCATCATATATTTAAACAACCAACAGGCGTTGTTTTCGTTTTAGCTGATCCTTGGGAATCATTATTACAAAATCAAGTTGCTGTCTGGCTTGTACCAATCGTTCTCAAAGAAAAACATCTATTTACAATATGTTTATGGATATTTATTCGTGTTTATCAAACAATAAATGCTCATTCAGGTTATGATCTACCATACATAAGTCCTCAATATTATTTTCCATGGTTATTATCTGGAACATTACAACATGATTATCATCATCAATATGCCAAAATGAATTATGGAAGTTTTCTAACATTATGGGATAGACTTATGAATACACATAAACTAAAAAGAGATAATTAACTTTTCTATTATAATTATCTTATCTAATAAATTAATTTTTATAATATTCTGTTCAAATAAAATATATTACGTAGCTAGATAAAATTCATCGGATAGTTTCAGAAAATCATTTAAGACACTTTTCTATGTAGTTTTATTCTTGTTTATTGTGTGCAGACATTTTATTTGAGAGATATTCCAATGATGATTATATTTATATATTCAATGAATTATTTTGTTGAAATAGAAATTATCTCGAACTTTTATCTTGATGAAAAATATTTCGAAAATTAAATTGTTCTTTATTAATAAAAATGAAACTATATTTATTAACTATTCGCATCATTTGTTAAGAATAGTTTCGCATTGCTATTAATTCATGTTTTTAATATCAATTTGAAATAGAAAGTCTGCATAAAATATTTTGACTTTTTTCAAATATATTTAACAAGATGAAATTCTAATCAAAAACTACTCAAACATTTACTATTGAATTGTTGAATAATACCGAAGTTATCTTAATCTCTCAGAATTTTAGGCTTTAATCAATGATTATTTAAAAGCTCGTCTAAGAAAAATATAACACAATGCCACTTGATTTTCATGAATGAAATGTGAAAATAGAGTAGCAATCAATTATCACAGATAATTCAAGATGTTTATAAGTATTACGCAGAATTGTTGCGATTAAAAGCAATAAACGATTTGATCTCGATAGCTAATTATGCTGATATTACAGTATAAGTATAAATCACTATTCTTTATTTTACAAAAAAACTCAGCACTTGACATAAAATAAAAAGTAGTTCTTCATCAGTATTTGAAGTCTAAAGTACATGTCCGACATACTAACAATTGTATGCAAATCTCAGCGAACGAAAAATAGATGAAGAAAAGCAAAATTAGCAAGTTCATGTATCAGAAGTAAGTTTTAAATATTTGATTAGAGAAGAAATTTCATTATTTAATTAAAATCTGAATTTAATTATGAAAACTTCTTGACAATAGCGTTTATCCATTGATTGCCATCAGTAAGATTGATTTGTAGCTCTCTCTCTCTCTCTCTCTCTCTCTCTATGACTATATTAATAGATTGTACTGATTTTAGTGTTGCAACTGATACAAGACATGAGCTCTTGTATTTTAATAGCTTACTATATTTGAATGAGAATAGGAGCAAATTAATATGAGAAACAACTTGGAAAACATCATTCATCGATGCTTCACTTGACAAAAAGTATCTAAACGTATGTTGTTATTTAATCATTTTAAGAACATTGATGAACCTATACAGTAGAAAAATCTTCTCTATTCGATAGTTTAGCAATTGACAGTGAATATCCACAGAAAAGTAAAAATATAAAGAAAATCAACACATGAAACTATTCAGCGTACAGATATCTATCTGTGGCATAATTATTTAATAAGAAATAGTTTGAAATTACTCCTTATCAGAAAATCTTATTTTCTCAGTTCCCTTAAAATGTTTTTATTATTTCAATAGAAGTTAATGAGTGTCAGTGTGAACTAATGAATTAAAGTCAAGCACAGGTAGCAAATTGATATTGTAAATTGTAGCATATTTTCACTTCTTTGAGACGACCATTGGAGTTCATGTCGACTCGAACTGCTGATCCAAATAATGTCGGTACATTCAGTGTAAGAAATGCATTTTTAATGATTGTAGCTGATCCAGTGTTTAAAAGACTATATTCTGGTATTTGAAGACTTTTGAAAAGATATTCTGCTATCGTATAATAATCTGATGCTGCTGGATAGTAACATGTACCTAAGATGAAAGAGGAAAATTTCAATCGGAATTTATTCGATGTCTGAAAAATATTTCAAAAAATTTAATCTTGTTTAGATTCATAAGTTTCTATAACTTGTTTGTTTTTGTTTTTTAGTCTTCCATTGTTAAACTATCATGAAAGAAATCCATTTGAACAAAAAGAAAACTCAATAGAAATCAATGAACTATTTTCTAATGGAATCAGAAGTAATCGACTATGATGTTTAAGACTAATCCTAAAGAATATATATATCATTTGATGTACTTACCATGTTTCTCCCATTCTCCTTGAACAAGATCTTCATCAGGCATGATACAGAAATACCTTTTAACAAATGTTGCATTCAATTGAGGTTCATCACGACAATTTCGTGGATGAGCTCTAACATTGGCGGCATTTGATACCTGTGGCCATAATCCATGAACAATCAATCCAAATGAATTACTTGGAAAACATTGAAATTTTTGATCACGTGCTGATTGAGAAAGTGATGCGCAATATGATGGACTCCTTAAAAGATCAATTGATTTATGCATAGAAATTTAAAAATATACGAAATTGTTTTTTGCAGTTCATTTTAATTAAACTAAGAGTCGAGAATGAATCATTTTATTATGACCATCCTATTGAAAATAGGTGAATATTTTTTTTTTCAAATACGATGAAGTATTATCAAAATTTTTACGTTTTGGTAGATTCATGTTACATTGAGATTACCCTCTTAATTATTAAGAAAATTATAAAGAAATAATGCTTTTTTTGCAGCAATGATTTTCTATGAAATATTTAACTTACCAGGATAAAGCAAGCATCATATAACTCGTTTTAGCCTGAGTATTTGACCATTCACCTGATTTGGATCTCCAGCTGAAATCATATTTGGGCTTTAGACTTGATGGAAGTGGGCATGAATCATCGGCAATCTTATAGCTCACTGCCGCATAAACACACATTAATGAAAAAATCAACAAAGTCGAAGTCATTTTTGTTGAATCTACGAAAAAGAGAATGCAGAATTTTTTAATGATAGCATAATCCAGTAAAAATAATATATATAATTAGAGTTTATACCATGCAATCGAGCAGTTTATTAATAGTTCGATGTTTTTCTGTAGTCAACAACATAATATAAAAGATCTTTACAATCGTTTCAAGAGCCACTGAGAACGTAATAAACTAGATGATAATACTTTTTTCTAATAAAATTTATGATGTTTCTCATGAGAAAATGAGAAAAAAACAGATTTGACTTAAACCTATAGAAGATTGTAAAGATTTTAATATTGTTTTTCTGTTGGATTCTGTATTCAAGATAGTGTATCAGATATTTTTATTGATCTCAATATGACTAAAATTGCCTCCAAAATTATTAAGATAAGAAAAAAGGCTAAAATAATCGGCAGTCATCAATTCAATGAAATGAAATGTTTCTTTTTTTAGACTGATTTGACTGTACTATTGATATTTCAATTCTTTTCTATCTAAGATTATTCATTGAATGTGTAGTTACTAATTCAAATCAGTCAGATGATTGTGATCGTTGTTACTCTCATTGACATACAGCATATATTAATTATGGATGTTTGATCAAAAAAAAATTTCGAGATAATTTAAATCGAAAAATCAACAGTATCTTTTAGTACTAATAGTCAATAATAAAAAACTGTAAAGAATCTATAATGTGATCACAGTAACACAAGTTGCACCGGCTTCGCTTTATAAAATACGGCTTTTAATTAATTACAAAAAAGTAAGATTTTTCTCTAAGAATAATAGCAATCCACTCAATCAGCATTGATACTTAAGAAACAAATGATAATTTAATAGAAAACTGTGCGTGGAAGAGACAGAAACCTTTCAAATATGTAGTGATCATGGTCGAGATTATTTGATAGTTGAAAATAGTAGATTTCTTTTACAAGAGAATAATGGATATCAGCAGAGAGTCTTTTCTTTTCAAAATAAAGTAATTGATTCACTGAAATATAGTTTTATCCTAGCATTCAATTTTTGATAACTTAATTGTCGCATAATGGTTTAAGTTAATTCGATAGTTCACAACAGAGGCGTGAACAGGACATAATTTTTTCTCCTGTCCTTGCCTGTCCTGGTTAGCGTTACTGATTTACTCCGATTTTTCTAGTGACTGAAAACTAATTATGAGTTCGAAGTTCGGACTTCCAAACCCGGGCTGTTCTCGATCCAAGTAAACATTAGTATGAGTAATCTAAGGCTTAATTTGTTTGACATCATTTTCAAATGCACTTTAAATTATCACTAATTTATTAATACAATAAAATAGAAAAATATCTTAACTTTCGCGACAAAAAAGAATATGAACAAGGTTGATTGTAGCATAAATGTGATAATTGAAACTTGATACTATTTAAAGAAACAATAACAAATAGGCAGTGTTTACCACAAAATAAAAAAAATGGAAAATACACAAAAACAAATTTTTACCAGAGTCGTGCACAGGATATACTTTTTCTCTTGTCCTTGCCTGCCCTGTTAGCTACCTTGATCATGGTCGGCGACAGGACAGGACACCAAGATGTCTTGCCCTATGTACGTCTCTGGTTCACAGCAAAATTGTAACAAAAAATACATTAGATAGAATTAATTCTCGATTGTTATTTATTTTAAAAATAATTGCACAATAAAAATCAGTTTAATGATTTACCTGAGATCTCTCACAAATCTAATTGATAGAAACGTGACGTTCTTACAGTTTCTACATCAATTATTGAAAATTTCGTCATTTATATATTTACGTCACGTTTTAATCTCTTGTTATTGTTAAATAGCTATTTATCAATAGAATTCTATTATCGACGAAGGAAAGTTTTCGTATCTCTATATTATCACATAGTCAGTAGAATCTAAGTTCTAATCATTTGACTCAACACTTGCATATACGTAGAAGATTGAATTATAAATAGAATTTAGCTTTTTTGATTTATTCTGTTGCAAAACCGTATAATCACTCTAATATAGTAAGTCAATGATCAATATGTAGGATTTTCAATAGAGAAAAAACTAAAATACTCTATGCCTACATTGTATATACTAAACACTGAAAAAAAAAAGGTACCACACGAAACCTTTGAGGTTTCGTCGAGTTTTACTATACTATATAAGTATCCGTAGAATAATGCGAAACCTGCATGAGGTTTCGCGATATCCAAGGTTTCGTAAAAGACTTTAAAGAGTTTTAAAATATAAAAAGGTTTCGTCCGGAACCCTTCGAATTTTACGTTGCCACAGAGGTTTGGTCAAAAGCTCTTTTGAGTTTCGTATTCAGAAGGGTTTCGTAATATACCTTCTGTAGCATTCGTTCATCAGAAAATTACTATTCAAAATAATAATTTCTTCCTCCTAGAGT